GAGAAAATCAACAGAGATGTGATTGAGCAAAAGTCTTTAAACAACTCACCATCTAACTCGTGCTCAACCGATAGAGTAGTAAATAAAGGTTTATTAAATTAATAATAAAATTATTTATTAAAAAATAATAAAGTAAATATATATCTTAATATTATTAATGAATATTTTTTTCTTAAGAAACTACAGAGGTGGTAAATACGTTTTTGGACTTTTCTCTATGGGAGGCTGACAAAGCGTATTCTGATGCTAGCGCCGAAGTTGACGAGCTAAAAAATACCTAGATCCGAAATTATGTATTGATGACGATAATATTTTAAAATGGTGGAAAACAAACCATTATGAGTTTCCAAATTTAAGTATTTTAGCTCTTAAATTCCTGGCTATCCCTGCTTCGTCGGCTAGCAGTGAAAGGGCGTTTTCAGCTGCTGGTAGGGCCTTTGAGGAGAGAAGGACTCGTTTAAAGCCAGATAAACTGGACGCCTCTTTATTTATATATCATAATTATTCGCTTTGTGATAATTTTGATAATGATATTGATGAGGTCAATATAATATAGTATGTTTATTATATTTTTTATATATATTTATTAACTTTTATATCATATCTATATTCGTATAAATGATGCTTATTGTATTATATAATCGTTATAATTTTTAAATTCGCTTGTATATTAATCGTTTTATAATATTTTTTACAAATTTAATAAAATGCAACTTAATATATATCTTGAATAGATTATGGCGGTCAAATAAACTTTTATTTAAGGTGGCTTAACTGAATAAATACACATAAATTTTTTTTTGGTTATTATAATATTAAAACTTAAAATGCAAAATTTTATTCGGCTCGGGTCGGGTCGGGTTGGACTAAAAAATGTGTGCTCTGGCTCGGGTCGGGCTCGGACAAAAAATTTTTTTAAATTCGGGCTCGGGTTGCGAAAAAATTACTTTGCAGTTCTCTATACATGACTATGCTTTGTATTTTTAACTATATTTTGCCTATAAATAAAATAAAAAATTTATTTTTTATACCAAATATGTCTATAGTTTTTCAATTATGATTTAAATATAGAATTTTTTTTATAAATTCAAAAATTCTTAAACGCTAGCTGAACCCGGAACCAACCCCGGGTTCAAAATATTTCCCTGAACCGAATCTACTTATAGTCTTAAACCGAACCGAACCCTGTCAAAATTTGCTGGGTTCACATCCCTGTGTAAAATAAACATATTTTATAATTTTATATTCAAATATTATATGCATATCTCTTATTTTTATGGTATTCCATTTTGCGCTTATTAATAGAAATTTCTAAGGCCATAATTTGTAGATATATCCTTTCACTCGTTATTTTTTTGACCAATCAATTCAGCAAAAAGCCAAGTAAAATATATTAATGCTCTAACATATCAGTTGCGCAATATAAAAACAGAAAATTTTTTATAAATCTGTTATCATGAATCAGATTTTGGTGTCGCCACAAAAGTTATATATGGGAGATCTGAATAACATTTTTCAGTACATCCTATGAAAAATGTCCAGACGGCCTTGGTGGAACATTAAAAAGATTAGCAGCACGTTCAAGCCTTTAGCGCACCAGTTCTAGACAAATTTTAACACCAGTTGATTTTTATCAGTTTGCAAAATAAAACATGCCATCAGTAAATTTTACATAAATAACCAACGAATAATACAATTTAGAAGAGACTAAACGACTAAACTATGCAGAGGACTCAATATCAAATGCCGATAATTTGTCTTTTGCCAATATTAAAGGATTCGTAACATGTGTTTATGACGATTTATGGTGGTTAGCCACAGTATTAAAAAAGAATGAAATTACTGAGGAGATACATATTTCCATTTTACATCCCCATGGCCATCACCATCCTTCTTTTACCTCACATTGAGGCGGCTATCCATTAATCAAATAATAACGTCATTAGATTGACGTACTACAAATTATGGCCTCAGGAAATTCTATTAATAAACGCAAAATGGGATAAGATTAAATTTTATTTATAGTATTATAAAATTTTAAAATATGTTTATTTTAAAATATAGCATCCCTAATAACCATATCCGTATGGGCTGATTCCTTACTTATTGCCCCAGGACATCACATTGGTTATGCTGACCTTTTTTGGTTACACCGAAAAAGCCGCCGTTTAAGTAAATCACACCAATTTTTTAATGTCAATCAGGATTTTGATGAATTTTTATTTTCTACCATTTTAAAATTTTAATTATATTGACGTCATTATAGAATTCAATCAATCAAAAATCTAAAATTCCAAAAGTTACCATAATTTTACATATTTTTAAAATGGATGCATCTACTTAAATAATTTAAATAATTTTAGTATCCTAACTCTGGATAATAAAAAATCTATAGTCTGGAAATTTTTTGCAAAAGAATTAGAGAAATTATTACTGCTCTAAGATATAAAACTGCAGAGGTTGAATTTGAATTCGAGGAATATCAAAGAAAATGCCTAAGTACAATAGATTTAACGACATGTTAGATCTTAACAGCATTGATCCATACCCGGATACCCGTTTTCAAATTGGCAATTCCAATGATAACAATAATTCTATGCATATGAAAACCTTAAAATTAAATATCCCAACATATTGGCATAGTATATTAATTATGCTAGAAACTAGAAAGCATATTTGGATCAAATAAGAATTTAATTAATAAGGTTTTGATAAGAATTGGGAAGCACTTTCTCAAATTATGAATCTGATATGGTAGAATAACTATTAGCATTTCTTTCAAAATTTAAAGAAACTGTCGAATTTCTTTCAGTACAAAAAGGGCCTACTTTAAACTTGGCGTTACTTTTTAGAAGTGAAATTGGAACACATTTAATAGTAAATGATATAGTGATAGTTCTGAAATTATTTCACTTAAGGAAAATATGCTAAAAAAAACTTGCGTTACGATTTCCAGTTTGTAATCTGCAAGTAATATTATATAAGTATATTCTTTTATTTTTTATTTAAAATTATCTAGGTATTGGCTTCTTTTTTAGATCCAAGATTTTAAAAATTGACAATTGTGTCAAAGTATTTAATAGAGCAAAATTGCTCAGCTATTTATAATAAAACATCTTAAACTTATAGAGAATGATGATAATCAGGTGGTAAATATGGCTAATGTACAGAGGATGAATTATTAAATTCAAGTTATTTGACAAAATTAGCAAATAAACATTAAACATATATAAATTATGATTCCAAGTTAGGTGACTTAGAACAAGATTGCCACAGTTTTTTTGGAAAACGACATTCACAAGATATGGACGTTCTAAATTTTTGGAGAGAAAAGAAGAGTGAACTTCCCAATCTTTCCAGGCTAGTCAAAAAAATTCTTTGCATCCCGGCGACTAGCACACCTAGTGAAAGAGTTTTCTCTACAGTTGGATTGACGTTAAATTCAAGGAGATCATCATTATGTCCCAAAAATTTTAATAAAATAATTTTAATACATGATAATTATAAAATTACGAAATCAATTTTGGATATAATAAATGAATATTAAAAAATATGCCGAGATATCTGTAGAATAGTGTATATTTATTTGTTTTTTTTAAAAATAAGCAATTAAAAAAATTTATTTTATAAAAATTTATATATGCGCCGATTTTATTGACGGCGGCTAAAAATCGGCGCGCCGCCGGCCGTCGATTAGATTTTTTAAAAATTGCACCAGCCGCCGATATTTCGTCAGGTCTAGTTATATTCAATCGATTTTTTAAATTTTAATACTAATATAACACATGATTTTATTTAAAATATTTCATTATAATTTTTGATTATAACGCCATCTATATTATCTTTTTTTGGCTATCGAGATTTTTTATAAAATAGTTTAATATAAAGGTAATAAACATTTTTAGAAATATCAATACCCAAAAAAATTCCTTCCTAACAATGTTAATTTTTTTCGATATTTTCCAATGTAAAGGGGTATAAAATGATATATTATTTGTAACTATTTTAAGTATTTTTTAAGAAAACAAAATTTAATGAAATCACGCATTATGTTATTTTCGACTTTGTAGGCATATATCTTTGGATCTGGTTGAGCTGGTGCTCTAAAATTTAGATTTTATAAAATTTACAACATAAATAATCAACATGCCAATTTTCATTCATTTTTTGTCATGGAATCATTACCCAATGGTAATATCAGATTTTTTTAAATATTGGCCATTTATTTTTTTTGAAAAGAGTAAATGATAGCCCCAAATCAATCTGCTATTTATACATTACAGTCCTATTAGATTTTATTTTAAGCAAATAAAGATAGTAGGCCTAGAAACCTGCCCCCCTCTTTTCCTATGAAAAAATTTTCTAAAGTAATTTAATTTTTCAAAATAATAATTACAAGTTTTAGAATATAAGCATATACAACTAATTATGGCAAAAAAACATTGCACAAATGAAAAGAATAGCCTAACCAATAACCTAAAGTCCTGCAATAAAATATATCAAGGGCTGAGAATACTTAAGAGATAGGTCTAATCAGGATTTTGGTTAAAAGAGAGAGATGAATTTATCTTTTTTTGGTAAACTTATTTGGAATGTTTTTAAACCCAATTTTTAAGGCCTTTGGCTAAATTACATTTTGTAAATATAATTTTGGATTTATACATAATAATTATTTATAAAAATGATTAATACTTCTTATTTAAATAATTACTTTCAAGTATCAATGGGGAGCAAGATGTGATAGTGTATAGAGATAAATAGCTTTTAATATACATTCTATAAAGTTATATAAAGTAGAAAATTTGCCAAGGTGAGAAAAATTTGCAACTTGGACAATTTTTTAACATGAGGAATAACACATATAAATTGGCTGCTAAGGGTCTATAATAAGTGCATCCAATATAATAATTTATACTACTTAGCTAAAAAAAATACATCATTAAAATTGTTATTTTAAAATTGTCGGAACGCAAATAAACAAAATTATTAATAATATTTACCATATCCCCATAATCAGAATTAATAATATACTAGTTTAATAAACATTTTTTAAAACTCGATTCAATATGGATAGAAACTATCCGATATATTAGGCACAAATTTATTTATGCATTTTATTTCTAGCATGCATATAGGCCATTAATGTTTAAAAATATTAATGAAAAGATATCGATTTGATTACACTATAAGAATAATTAATCCCAATATTTTTTTAAATTTATTTTAATATTTATTGAATTTAAAAATGATAATAACTATTATAAAAATATATAAAATTACTAAATAAAAATAAATATATATATAAGATTTTAAGGCTATAAAAAGAGCTTAATTTAGTAATGAGTAATTGAAACATAAAAAAAATTGGAGCAAGGATTTTATAAATTATATGTCATAGTTGTTTCAAAAGCGAAACTCTTTGAATTTAATAATTGTTCTACTTCGACTCACAGCAACCCATCGTTCCAATGTAATTTAGGGTCAATCGAAGAATGCCATAAAATTATTCTCTGTATCCCTCTCATGGATACTGAGCGGGGTTAATTTGCTTTATATTGTTTTATATATTTTAAGTTATTAAATTTTACGCGTAATAATTTGGATGTGTAACAACGGCACAAATATTTGTCTTGGAATTATATAATTTATAAAACTCAAGATGTGTCTTATTTTATTATATTTTGTAGAATTATTCATTTTATTGTAGGATATAAAAGGCCGATTTTGGGGCAATATATGATCATTATTTACTTCATTTTATTATAATAAAAAATTATATGTTATTATTAGATTTTAGGGAAAATGAATCTAACTGCGGACAGCAAATAAATAAATATAAGGTCTCTGATTCATCAGGCAACATTTATCAATCTACAAACATTATAATCGTAAATTTCAAATCTTGATATATAAATAATTAAATATTTGGTAGATTTTTATTGAGACGATAAATATCCGATAATACCTATACTACCTGAATACAAGCGCGTATTATGGGTGGGGGCATGAATCTCCCTCGCCCAAGATTTTAAAATAATACTAAGGTTTTTAGAATTGTGAATTTTAAAATAGCGTATTTCAAATTTGTTATATTCTATTCCAAATAATAGCAAAAGTTAAAATTAATTTAAATATATATTCCTTAAGCATTGATATTTTATCCCTTGCATTTTATTAAAACTTAAACATTAATGGATGCAAAAAAATTATATCAATCAATAAAAATTATATTTAATTGACGCTATTAATAACTATGATAAGACAATCAAGACAATAGAGTAGTCAGATATCTAAATATTCTGAATTTTTTGAATAGAATAATTTCTGAGATTTCATGTATTACAAGTAAATAGAAACTTCAAAAAGCATATCCGATAAGATGATCTCAGACATCCAGCTTTATGAGCTTATTTTAATGCACTTTTTGGAATATTAGAATAACCTAAAACTAATATTTCACCAGAAACAGATACTTTATTAGATTCCATAAAGCATTTAATTTTTTTAGCATTGTAATATATATTAATAAGTATTTAATTAAACCACAATTGTATGCAATATTTTTTAAAAAATGAGAGGTATTTGGGTGAATTTATGAGAATGCGAACATTATTATACTACCATTTACAAATCTTAAAGATTATAATGACCATTTTAATATATTTATGCAATTGTTGAGGCGAAAGCGAAATTAAATGATTTTGAGATTCACAAACCTAGACTTGTACCTAGATAAACTAATGTTTTCATTTTAACGTAGACTCAATTGGGGATCACTATAAAATAACAGCTGTTGTCGATTCTTCATTTTTGAAAAAATTAAAAATAATTTGTGATTCGTAAAATGATATTACAATAAATTTTTTTAAGGATATATTAAATCTTGGTTGAAAAAATTAAATATTTAGCTAAAGTTTATTCAGAGGATATATATATGGTTTATTAATATAAGAATTTAAATTTTTTTTTGTAATAATTTTATATTAATGTATTTAAATTAGGAATATCATAGATTTATATAAAACTATATCACAATTTTAAAATAATACTTTGAACGTTAAAGGTAAAACATATATACGTAATTTAAAAATATATATTAAAAATATCATGTAAACTATTTGTAAAATAAAATCTATATAAAAAACTGTATAATAAAAAAAAAAATTAGTATAATAAATTGTATGTTGGGTGGGAGGAGGTCAAGAAAGAGAGTCGTGGATTGCAATGCACTTAGATCTGCATTTAGTATATAATCTTCCAAAAAAATGGAATTCAATAATTGCTCATTTATAATATATTTTAGAATTTTTCCAAATATATTATGGTTATTTTAGTAACAATGGCATACAGGCTAGATTTTTAAAAACGAATAACCCAATATTTTGGCTAAAAAATGTCATGCAAGCCTCATATTACATTAAAAGATGTCCAAACCTTTTTGCCATCTAGGAGCAAAATCTACAGGCTTACGTAATATTTTTGCTAAAATATTGGGTTAGCCGTTATTCAGAATCGAGCATTTAACAACACAATTTTTTTTCATTACGGAATTACAATTAATTTATGTACGATATCTTAAAATCGGTTGAATGTACTAACTTTACTTAATACTATACATCGAGATTTACAATTTATTGAAAAATTAACACAAACGCAAAGAGGATTAAATATTCATTTATTAACAAACAATATTTTGATAATTTTTTAAATCATCATATAATGTTTAATCTATATTTTATGGTGATTTACATATCGTTGATAACTAATATTTTTAAACAATATTTTGTATTTTCCAATATTTTACTATTTATATTTTCGAGTCTGACCCGAACATGATAACGATTTTTGTAATGATTATAATTTATTTTAACGATAACGCTCTCTTGTAACTATACTAACTTCTTGTAGCGGTACCAATCTCTTGTAACCATAACATATTCCTATAAAGAAACAATTTCTTGAAATAAAGATCTCTTATATGATAATTAATTCTTGTATCTTAACCACCTTTTGTAACGACAATCTCTTTTATCGATAACGATCTTTTGTAATTAATTTCATTTAGCTATAACCATCTCTTGTACTGATAATGATCTTGTAACTAAAACGACTAATTTTATACACTTTCAAACCTGTGTTACTTCTAACTTTAGCTACTAAAATTTGCTCTTCCCCTTCTACGATCATTTGCCTGGATATTGATACAATTGTTTCTTCATCTTGATTGATCTTATTTTTTGTCTTAAAGTCTTTGGCCATTTCATAAATCACTTCTCCCCATTTTTTAGAATTTCATATTTTGAGTTAATTGGACTCAAGTTTTAGATCCATAGAACATATATAATTTGTAAGTAACTGTATGATTCGATTCACTGTAATTAGTTAAATGTAGTCCCAACTGTAAAATCTGATTACTAAAGCCAGAGTTATAGATGACAAATTATTTTATTAAAATATATAGTTAATCATTCTAAAATAACATAAATAAACTAAAAGTAAAGATTATATAACTTTTCCTTTTATTTCACTTAAATTATTAAATTTTCGATCTCACTATTTATACTTCTAAAATTTATATAACATCAATAATTATTTCATATAATTGTCATTTAATTTGTTAATAATTTAAATCTTTAAACATTTCAATTATCATTACAAACTTATTTTTAATACACCTATTTAACAATTTCTAATAAATTTCATATATATTTTAGTTCTAATAAATTTTCAATGTTCAAAAAAAATACTTCAATATTTAAAAATTAATCACTCTCCGCCCCTTACTCCATGTAGAAAATTTATGGTTACCCGCCTAACTATACCATAAAAAAGATAAAAGGTTAAATATGGTTGATAATGTTCCAAAAATTCTATAGATGCTTCGCAAATTTCAAATATATTTTAGACTCTTTCATTCATGAGCGTAGTCAGGATGATAAAGTGGTGGGTAAGGTATGTTTTCCTCATCCAATTTATAAAGGGGTCCACTTGTAGACGTTTGGTTATTTTTTTAAACTATGGTTGTTTTTTTTTCTAAATATTTTGAATTATAGTCGTTAATTTAAAAAGTTGTTTACTTTTACTAATTTTAAGAACAAGCATATATTTAAAGGAGGGATCCCTACTCCCGTCTGCCCTATGATTTTTATATTCTACCAATGAAAGAACATTTTCCTAAGATTAAAAATAAAAATATACCTGGGGATTAGCAATGTTATATAGCTATTGAGCCGATTTTAAAAACGGTAAACTTAATATTTTCCGGAAATATTGCTTAATCTTATGATTAATATAGCATATATGAGCAAAATCTTCAATTGATTAAATTATTGAAAAATTAATTTAATCCCTAATAATTAAAAATCACATTATGTATAAATGTAAAATATGCTTTTTAATTATATTATATTATATTATTTTTTTCCTTTTTAGCTTTCACCTTTTCTGGTGGTAAGCTCCTTCACTTATCTATTATATTATTACTCATGCTATCTATATTTATCTTTGTATTTCTGATCGATTTCATTTGTATCGATCACCAGTGTATCATTTTCAAGGCCAAAGTATTTTGATCTCCCACCAGTGTATCAAATTAATATCGACCAGATATCCCACCTGAGTAGTATTCCTCAAACTGAATTATAAAATCGACAGATATCCCTATCCTGATCTCCCACTAGTATCAATCCCGATGGATCTCCCACCGGAGTATCGTTATCAAGTCCATTGTAACTTGGTAGACATTGAGCTTGAACGTCCCCCGCACCATCATCATCATCCTAGCGCTGGCCAAGAAATCGTTATCATCTGACCCACGAGTTTAGCTGTCTTTTTGGTTTATTGGACAAGTATCCTAGCACCCGGCTGTGCAAGCCTGTCGGTGACCGGGGTGGCATTTCTCAGCTCAGAAATTTATCATATCATATGTCTAAAGCCATACATCATCGAAGAAAAACCCGAAATTTTTTAGCTCCTAACCAGGATTGAACCTGCGTCCTTCTGTTTCCAAGCATACATC